ATAAAAACAAAACAAATGTATCTGACTGCAACATTCCCAAATGAGATGACTCATCGACTTTGAATGTTAATGCGCAGGAGTTCGTTCAAAAGGCATTTATTAGCAATTATTCGAATAAACAGAGTACAGTTCTGCTTTCAACAGTCGTATGTTTTCTAATTGATAACGAGGGAAGGAAACACAGAGTGAAGTGTCTATTGGACGGCGGCAGTATGTCGAACTTTTTGACACGGAATTTTATTGAGCATTTGCAGTTAGAGAAAGAAAAAAACAAACATTTCCGTTTCGGGAATAAATGATGCTACTTTAACAATAAAGCATAAAATTAATGCTTCGATATGCAATACAGAAGGAACTTTTATAAAGAATTTGGACTTTTTAGTAATTCCAAAAATAACTGCTGATTTAACACCTTCGCGCAAAATTAAAATTTCAGTGCAAGATCTTCCTAATTTAAAATTAGCAGATGAAGGATTTAATGTTCCAGAAAGGGTAGATATGTTGTTGGGAGCGGGAGTTTTTTTTATGAACTTTTGAAACCGAGTCAAATTCGAATGAATAATCCTGATCTTATTTTTCAAGATACAGTTTTTTTGGTTTTTTATCGTGTCTGGAAGTATTCCAACAGAGACTGAAAACAGGGTTCATTGTGGGTTGATAAAAGAAGAAGATAACTTAGATAAAGCTCTTAGAAAATTTTGGGAATTAGAAAATATTGAAACTGAATAAACCCAAAAAACAAAGAATTTTTAATTTGTGAGAAACATTTCGTAGAAAATTATATCACGAGATAAAACCGGTAGGTACGTTGTTAAAATGCCATTAAAGGAGGATCCGGACACTTTAGGAAGTTCTAAACAAATTGCAACGAGTAAATTAAATTCCTTATGGAAACGCTTAGTAAAGAATCCCGAATATTTAAAATTATATTCAGATTTTTTAAAAGAATATCAACAGTTAGGACATATGGTCGAGGTGAGTGAAAGCGAGGAAGGAACGAGGTTCATATTACATTCCTCATATTGGAGTATATAGGGGAGAAGAGAAAAGTAAGTCGACTCCCTTGAGGGTATTATTTAACGCTTCTTCTTTGACAACCAAAGGAAACTCTCTAAATTCTATACAGTATAATGGAGGTGTGATACAAGATGATTTATTCTCAATTATGCTGAGATTCAGGAAATATATTTTTGCTTTCACTGCTGATATACAAAAGATGTATCGAGCTATTTCTATCCATCCAGATCAGTGGAAGTTGCAAAGGATTTTATGGAAAGAAGGCATTGATAAGCCAGTTAAAAACTTTGAGCTAACTACCGTTACCTATGGAACTGTGAGTGCACCATTTTTAGCAATGAGAACACTTGTACAGCGTTCAAAGGACGAAGGAGATAAATTTCCTTTAGCAGCACCTGTACTGAGAGAAGACATGTACATGGACGATATTCTATCTGGAACTGAGTCGCTAAGTTCTGCGTTAGAACTTCAAAATCAATTAATAGGCATTTTGATTGAAGAGTGGAGGCATGTTACTCCATAAGTGGTGTAGTAATGCTACTGAACTGTGTCAAACAAACGACAAAACATATCCCTTTGGTAAATCAGAAGAATCTAAAGCATTAGGTATTTTATGGAAGTCAAAAGGAGATTGTTTGAGCTTCAACGTTAAAATCGAAGACAGCGTAAAGGTTACGAAACGGCAAGTGTTATCCGTAATCTTTCGCATCTTTGACCCATTGGGTATAATTTCTCCAGTTATAATTGTAGCAAAAATATTTATGCAGAAATTATGGCTGTTAAAATTGAACTGGAATGATGTTTTGCCAGTAAAGGAGGCTAAAGAATGGAAAGAATTCTCCACTACCTTGCAGCTAATTAACAACATTGAAGTCCCTAGATGTATTTTATTACCGGATAGAATCAAGATTGAATTACATGGTTTCTGTGATGCCTCAGAGGCCGCCTATGGAGCAGTTATCTACTGTAAAGTAACATTAGCAACAAACCGTACATCAGTGAGGTTGGTGTGCAGTAAATCGCGTGTCTCCCCCATAAAGAAGACTACAATCCCAAGACTTGAGCTTTGCGCAGCAGTGCTATTAGCTAAACTAATGCATCGAGTGAAATCATCGTTAAAATTGGAGCTTACTGCTATCCACCTTTGGACCGATTCTATGATTGTGCTGTCATGGATTAACAAAGAGCCACATCTGCTCAAGACATTTGTTGCAAACCGGATTTCAAAGATACAGGATCTGACTGAAATAGCACAGTGGCATCATATCGCTTCTGAAGAAACCCATCAGATCTCATATCTAGAGGTATGTCTGCCAAAAACCTGCAACTAAGTCAACTGTGGTGGAACGGGCCTGACTTCTTAATGAAGGATGAGTACCCTATAAGAGTTATACCTGAAGCAATTAATGAAAAGGACAGTAATGAACTTAAAAACTTTGCTGATTCTGAACTATCTACATGTTTAAATCTGAATGTGAATAATTTTATTAATGATTTATTGAATTGCAGTAATAAGTATTTAAAATTAATTCGTATTATAAGTTTTTGTTTTAGGTTTTACAAGAATTGTAAGCAAGAACAAAAAGCAGGTAGGTAATTTACAAGTGGGAGAATTGAGAGCAGCTGAAGAAACTTTAATAAAATTAGTACAGGGTGAGTATTTTATGAATGAGATAAATTATCTTAAAAAATCAGGTATTGTTCCAAGAAATAGTTCTCTTAAAAGTCTTAACCCTTTCATTGACAGCAATGGACTGTTGAGAGTTGGAGGTAGATTACAAAATAGCAATTTAACTTATAATAGAGAAAAAATTTCCTATTATTCTGCCTTCTAAACATAAATTAACAGAGTTAATAGTTAATTAATATCATTTAAAATATTTGCATGTGGGTCCTCAATCTTTGTTATATCATATAAGACAAAAATTTTGGATTGTAAGTGGAAGAAATGTTTGTAGAAAAATTGTAAAAAAATTGCATAATATGTTTTAAAGCTAATCCCATTGTAGCTCAGCAAATCATGGGTGATTTACCCAAGGAAAGAATCACAGCTAATCTTACATTCAATTGTACTGGAGTTGACCTCTGTGGCCCATTCTTAATTAAGTACAAAAACCAGAGAAAAGGTATATATCAAAAAGTTTATGTGTGTATATTCATTTGTATGGTTACTAAGGCCATTCATTTAGAGCTGATAACAGACCTATCATCTGAAGCATTAATAGCTACCTTGAAACGTTTCTTTGCAAGAGGTAAAAGTTTAACACTATTTAGTGACAACGCTACGAATTTTGTAGGTGCAAATGCAGAATTAAAGAGGTTAAACAAACTAGTGAACGAACAGTACAGGTGAACAGTACAAGTATAACACTATTTAGTGACAAGGCTACGAATTTTGTAGGTGCAAATGCAGAATTAAAGAGGTTAATCAAACTAGTGAACGAACAAGATAACCTTTTAGCTGGTTATTTGAGTTCTGAGAATATCGAATGGAAACTTCTCCCTCCCAGAGCATCTAATTTGGAGGCATTTGGGAGGCTGGAGTTAAATCTTTTAAGTACCACTTCAAACGTGTCGTAGGTAATGCAAAATTGACATTTGAACAATTTTTAACAATTATGATTCAGATTGAAGGAATTTTAAATTCCCGACCATTGACCCCCTTGTCTTCGGGCATTGATGATTTAGAGGTTCTAACACCTGGGCATTTTTTAATTGGTAGAGCAATTATTTCGATCCCTGAGCCAGATATCACGGAAGTTAACATTAACAGGTTAAAATTGTGGCAACAGATCACAAAATTAGTACAAATTATCTGGAAAAAATGGAACTCCAATTATTTAAGTCATTTGCAAAATCGATCTAAATGGCAAAGTTCTAAAAACAATATACAAGTTGGAGACCTGGTCTTAATTAAAGATAATTTGCTTTGTTGTAATTGGGCGGTTGGTCGTATAATAGAAGTATTTTATGGTAAAGATGGAAAGGTTTCGCGTGTGTAATGTAAAAACTCAAACTGGAACTTTCAAACGACCAATTTCCAAATTATGGTGTCTTACCAATACAAAAATGAGTATTGTCTTTATCATTATGGTACAGTATTGAATGTGCTTCACATAAAATGTCATTATGTAACTGAAATGTTATATTGTATTGCTTTGAGTTGTACGCTAATATATATGGTAAATGTCTAATTATAATAATGATTTTATGTAATAGTACTTATTCAAAATTGTTTATGAAATACTTGTTTAATTTTTTTATGCTATATCTTAATTACAATAGTTGAATGCTAAGCATTGCAACGCGGGGCGGCATGTTCGCGCCTGCGCGTCTGTAATGTAATCCACGCATGCGCATCTGTAATGTGATGATCAGACGAGTTTGAGAATCGCCATCGACGGTGTAAGAGGGCTAGTCACAGCTATGAGTTAATTGTAATTAATTATGAGAATTAATAAAGAATCGAACCAGCGAATTTATTTAGTGTGTGTTATTTGGGACGAGACCCAAACAGATAGTAATTTCTCTCCAAGATTACAAACTTTGTCAGGATCGAGACCATTAAGCGCAGTAAGAAATAACAGTTTTTAATTATTTATACACAATAACTGTACATTTATTTGTGCGTCGAAGAAAAATTAAAACCTAAGGGAAAAAGACTAGATTGTCCTTATTTATTTTCCAGTTTTGTCCTTCTGAAAACATTTTCTTTGAAAATTTAAGAAAGTTTCCTAAATTTGCTTATTGTCACTTTAGAAGTAAATTATTTATTGATTAATTAAACGTGTTAGAAGTATTTGAAATAAATATTAATCTGAAAATTTAGCTGCTTAACATGCTCATTTAACCATGAGATATCACGTCAATACAACAGAAAAATGCCCTAATACATCAACTAGTGTTACCCATTTTTCTGTACTTCCTGTACTTTTGTGTCATAACTCAACTTCCTATAGTAAATTAACCTGAATCAAAGAAGTATTAAAGCAGCCTCTATTAACTGGGATTGGCCATTACCTAGAAAACTTGAGTTGCTGTTGAGCTGCTGGATCTTGAGGAGGTTCGGATCGTTGTTGGGGAACTCCTACTATTCTTTGCCTGTACGGTCTTGGGACTCGCAGGTGGGGATCTCCAGTGTTGAGCGCTGTCTCACTGACACTTCTCAGAAGCTCTCCGTCCCGAACGTACTGCCGTTCTTCTTCTTCTTCTCGCATCGGACTCCTGATATACAGGATCTCCGTCCTGCGAGGACCTGAATCAAAAATATGAAATACTTTTAAACATTTGCATTTATCTCCCGCTTGGGGGATTGAAAATAATGATTTACATCTCGATCACTAAAATATAAAATGTCGGTCAATAAAACGTGATCCATTATTATTTTTACGAATTTTTTTAAATAAAGTAATTTTGTTGGCATTTAATTATAGATACTTTACACTTCCCAAAATATACAGATTAAACTAGTCACGTAATATGTTACACTAGTCTCAAAATAATTACATTTTACGTATAGTCAGCTTTGGTTGATTAGATAATCGATTAAGCAAAGCATGTGAAGATTATCTGATTGATATAGCACATGCCTTCGTGAAGGACCTTCTAAGCACATTTGGTTATTATTTTAAGTGAGAAAAGTTACATGGCAAATATCCCCAAAACTCACGCAGGCAACATGTTCGTCGAGATTTGAAATTAAATCGAACGGCTAGTATTCAGCTGTTTTATCAACTGAGCTGTTAGTGAGTGAATAGTTACAACTGATTCATAGAATCTGCATAATCATTTCATATTCTGGAGCTAAAATGTCAAATTACATTTGTATTCATTTGTTGAGAGGTTGGTTTCCTGCATTGCTAATTAATCATAATTCTAAGAACTTCTTTCTGAGAGCAAGTGGAAGTTAAAAAGATGTAGATAGCTTTCAGCACTTTAATTGATTGAATATTTAGATCTGTAAATATTTATGTTGCATATTTGTTTGCAACTTGGCAAAACCTTCAAGGCTTCTGCAGTGTATCATTCTAAATTCGATCTGAAGGCGTGTTTCAATAAAGGAATCAGTTAATGTTATTATGTAAGTTTTCTTTATTTTTATGACAACGCTAATTTTCTAAGACGTCTAAGAAGATAAGATAGATCGTTGAGGTGAAGACATCTGAAAAACAAGTAAGTTAGATTGCTCATAACCCAAGGTTGAAGATATCCGATAAATTAACAGCTACAAATCGAGACATTTGTAGGAATGTTTCGCACATTGAACAGTACAGAATAAAATTGACTTACCATCCTCGGTGTCTTCTGCACCTGCCCTCTCATCTACTGCATCTACCCTAACCCTGGGACGAACAACTTTTCGAACGACGACGTAGTTGCCAAGTCTTCGGGCGTCCGAATCACCCGCCATTTCTTGAACCAGCATTTCTGTACCGGGACTTAGAGGGCGTCCTCTTCGATAAGCTCTTTCCATTCGACCTCCGGCTACTGCTGGTATCCCACCATCCGGATAATAAGCTCCGCGAACCGGAATGTCATCTAGGAAAAAAAAAACAAGTGTTAAAGTGTAGTATAGAATTTTTACATTTTCCGTATGTTACATTAAATGTTAGCATTAAAGCATGTTACATTAAATGTTAACATTAAATGTTAGCATAAAATGCGTGAAAATAGATCATGGATGCACGGAAATGATTTTCATCAAAAGTAATCAAAAAGAACTTTAAAGAGACGAGCAATCACAAGTGATTCGGATTTAATTCGGAAAGGTTTAAAATTTGTATAAATATAGGAGCTGCGGAGTTTAACATCTAGTTTAACTTCTTCTGTTCCATTGTGATGGGTACCAACAGTAAACCACTAATTAATTTCTCGATTTCTTTTAAGAGTATCCAAGCTTAATGCAAAAAAGTATACTGAGAAGAATTTCAAACTGTTCGAATTACATGCGTTTAATTTTAAAATTTTATTTCTTTCTCTTAGCAAATCATTTTACCTTTTAATCAAGACACTCTGCAACCATAAATATTGGAATAAATATAGGCTTTTAATGATTATTATAAATTTGTTTACCATGTTTAGCGAAATTTGGGAAACAGAATAAAATTTTTCGCGAAATAAACTATAGAAAACAACTTTTCGAAAGAAATTCTTCGGAAATTATGATACCTTCCAGATATTCATTTGTCAGCGGGAGCGTAGAAAATAGGTTAGAACGGTCTCGACCAGTTGACCGACTCTTAGCTGCTTTACATGAAATACTCAGTGAGCTGTTTAAGTCATAGAAAGGTTAAATTCAATAGTTTAAAAATTTTCGCTTTTATTTGTAATACAAAGGAAAGGGCAACAGTGTGTAATATAGGGATAAATAATAACAATTAAAAATAATATTCGAAATAATATTACTATGTTAATATATGAATACGTTTTAATTGTATACTATATTTTACTTTTACCCCTTATCTCAGAATTAGTATGCATCATGTAATTTATGGCAATTACAATATGCCGAAATACTTGTCACAGGAAATGTAATACTGATCATTTCACTTTTGGACATCTTCTCACCTGTTTGGGACTTGTAAAAGAGGACCTATTGAAAAGACCTATCTTCGCAATGGAAATATTGACGGCTCTTGGACTCATGGATCTAGTCTAGCCTAATGTCTAACCAATTAGGATCTGCAACAACAACCACATGTAATTTATTCTTCTCAAACTTCAAGAAGTAAAATTAGAGTAAAAGGGCAAAATTATGCAAGTAAATACGTCATAAGCTGCCACACGAATAGGCATATTATTACTATTATTTATCATCTTTTCCAAGAGTATTTATTGAGAATAGATTGTCTTGTAATTCAAAAAATGAGAATTCTGTGGTTTGGCGACGCGAGGTTTATTTCAACAGCAATATTCTGCAAAATGCCGCCCAGTCGGTATGGTGGTCAGGGAAGCTGACTGCGATGCCGAAGAGCCTGGGTTCGAATCCCGGAGAAGGCACGGTTGTAACTGTCCGTCCCTTCACAGGAAAGGCGATGGTGGCCCACCTATTAGGTGCCTCCATAATAAAAAAACCACCACATTCGGCCTTGTATAGATTAATGGACTGGGTTACATTTGTAATTGTTCACAATCTGCCATTTGAAAAAAATATCCAGCAAAATCAATAATCAAATAAAATTTGTCTGAATGGACAGGTTTGAAAAAGTGCCCACCTGGGTTCTGTGCATAAGATGTAGTAACAGAATCGTGAACAGTAGCTTGCTGTGCCCTGTGGCTTGGAGAAGGCCTCTCCTCGTCTGTACGTATATGGTTTTTCCGAATAGGATCCGTTTGAACTTGTTGACTTTCTTGCCAAATGCTTCGAGTTCGACTGTCTGGTCTGAAACAAACAATCAAAACATCATGAAGATATTCAATGCAGAAAATTTTACGAGCATGAAGATTGAACAAATTAAATTAAACTAAATCGAAGGTCATCGTCAAGACTATTAGCCCGTGACTATCTTCGACTTGACATTCACTCGGCAGAAGTCATTAGATTATTAGGCATTCAGAAGCGAAAAACGTAAAAAATAAACTACGTCACTGCCTAATTTAAACCTCAAATCTTGTAGTTCTTAACTAGTTATGCTAGCAATTTACATCGTAACTAAACTCATGAGAGAATGCGAAAACTGCAAACATTCTTCTCCGTTTAAAAAACTACTTAGGTGAAGAACAAGACTCAGTTGACCATTCGATCAAATGCAGGTAGTGATGAGTTATTGTCCACGGCATTTTAGTTTGGACATCCCTTATAAAAATAATAGGCCTTTCTGAGCATGGAATATAAAATTTCAACCATGCGTTAGTGGGAGTTCAAACAAGAATATTCCAGTTGCTATATGAATGTGGTTCTCAATGGATAGCGTTCCGCTTTTGCTGTCTGCGTGTGTTAATCACTTACACCCCCAAGAATACTCACCGGAAACTGCGATAATTCCTGACAAGTTTCCTTCGGAAAGGTTTAACAAGAGCGCTGAAATGGACATAAGAAAGAAATAAATAAACTGAAAATGACAGTCGAGATTGTTGGTCAGTGTTGAACTATGGTTTAATAATGGCTATGATCAACCTATAGGTCACAGGGTGTTACAATTAATTTGGACAGGATTATTAAAAGAAAATTAAACGGAATTTCTGTGGTTTTTTTCAAGGCCACTCACTGATCATTGGCGATCTGCAGGCCATTAAATATCGATATCAATCATTAGATTGCCAATGTGGGATGATGCACACAATTCAGAAGTATTAGTATAATAAAATTAAAACTGAAAGATAGCGTGGTACTTTCAGGGCCTGATCATTGGTGAGGGATATAAAATAAATTAAATCATTAAAATTAAATCGAAAATGCCAATGGTCATCGGAGGTGACAATCACCGGTGTGAAATCGGGTTACGTTTTCTGTAATGACATCAGTATATTTCTTATTTGCAAAACAATCAATTTAATTTCAAATAATATTATTCATCGAAAGTCTGTTTTATTGCGTTATCAGTATTTTCCATGTAATCCTACTCTTAATCAAATTCAATTTAAAATTTAGCAAATGATACTGCATAATCAAATTTAAATAAAACAAACCACATTTCCTATAACTCTTGTTTATTAGTGGAAATTGTTTGCTAAATAACAATAAAATTGTGTAACGGAGTATTTTATACATACATTTAGTAAAAAGAAAACATACTTAGACTATGAAATTTATTTTTACCCAAAACCTGTAGTCGAAATTTACGTATGAAACCAGAAGAACCTCTCCAGAATTTATTTGTATTTCATACACATTTCATCAGAATATTTCATAGGACATGAAATCAGTTTTAAAATGGTTCTATCATTTTGGGACATACTATAGTATTACAGTCTAAGATAAATATATCACTCAGAAAATGTTATTCAGCGTTAGGAACGTACCTTCTTTTTTCATCCTTATTAAGATGAATAATGCTACCGTCTTTATAATGAATGATATTTTCTTCTGGTGCCACTTTATTTTTCACTTCCAAGATATCACGACCACTGAAATTATAAGTCAGAACATAAAATTATATTTGATATTATTCTTTCATTATAAGAATTACAAAAGTCTTTAATTAAAAGTCACAGTTTAATTCTGCTACCACGAGAAAATGCAAGTTGATATACTTCTAAACCGTTTATCAAAAACAGTCTAGTAAATTAGATCAGGACTCCGCTTGCATTAAACCCTACTTACCCTTCTGTAGTACGTACACAGCAGCAATAGATAAGCAGAGCTAAGATTGCGATAAGCATGAGGATGACCAAAACGATCAACAGCCAAAAGACCACATTGAAACTGCCTCGATTGATGGCTTCAACCTATAATGCAAGAAACACCAGATTCTAAAAATAGTGATACAATGTTTTGAAAAATATTTTAAAATTTGGTGAATTTTTCAAAAATGATACAATGTTTTGAAAAATATTTTAACATTTGGTGAATTTTTCAAAAATGATACAATGTTTTGAAAAATATTTTAACGCTTGTTGGGTTTAAGTTCATTCCATTTAATCCAGAAAATTTTATAATTTTTTCTAACTGAATGCATGATAGAAAAGACGAAAAATTATAAGTTGGGCACAATGTAATTTTAAATGGCCCATAGTTCAAATTAAGAGAACCCAGCTGGAAACTGTAATGTGAAGAAAGGAATGAATTCAAACTTGCGGTTTGGGGTGGGTGGTTGCATTGCAAATTTAAACCCTATTATTCCACTCCCAGAACATTATTTCGATACGAGATTTCACATTTGTTGCTACTTACATCCAAATTTTTTAGCGGTTCAGACACAAAAATAATTAATTTTTTATTAAATAAAATCAGCAATTTTTTTGTGTCAAAGTAAGATCTGAAGAAAATGAAAGGAGAATTTGAAATTATATGAATATTGATCAGCGTACAAAAATTAATTTGGAAATTATAGTCATGTCACTAAATTAGAAACATTTATGTAAGTTAATACAACAAACGTTATTGGCATGTTAATACATACCATGTGACGATAAACGTCATTATGTGATCTCTGCAGTTATTTAAAATCTCTGCGTTGGCCAATTAATCCCTTAGCCTTAATTAATCGTGCTGGAAAACACTTCTGTCTAAATTTGCACTGTAAAGAGTATATAGGAGTAAGTTCAACTTTACTATATGTGACAAACATTGAGAGTTTGAGATCCACTTCCTTTTTTAAAACTTAAGGACAGTCATTTATTCCATGCACCGAAGCACTGTTTAATTACTTATCACTTTCACAGACACCTGCTTAACTTTTGCACTTTACACCACTGAGAGGGCTTTCGACCTAAGGTGATACCTAATGGAAAAAGACCACCGAGTAGAAATTATTTATTCAGAAGATCCTTTTTAAAATAATTATTTTTACATGACATTGAAAGTTATGAACAGTTTTCTTTGCATTTACATGCTACGTTGAGCTAAATTTTGATATACATTTCAATTTAATTTTATTAAATTTCAATAGCTCAAGATTCAGTGAAAGCTCTAAATTTGAATAAAATTCAATAGATTAAAAGTTCGTGCGATATAACACATTATATTGTAAGGATCTTAAGTTTTACTAACGTTTATTTTATTTTAAATCTTTACTATCACTTCTTATTTTCTACTTCCGGCCAGAATTAAAAGCGTTAACTTATTTATGCAAAATTTGTCTGGCGAACGCCAAGTACTTAAGTTGTGGCTTTTTGCCAAGCGAGAGAGAGGAAGGAGTTAGTCGAAGCAGGCCGCTCCTTCCCTTAGAAGTTTTACTCGGTTGCTGGTTGCCTTCCAGGCCAGAGGTTTAATCCTCTTGATAATTTTAAAAAAACGTATTGTAGTGTTAACAGTTCTCTGTACTACATACGGCTTCCTGTTAATATCCCGGCCAATCTTACACGTAGGCCCTTGTTGATTATTCCAAAGTTAAGTTAGAGTTAGTTAATATTTTATATCTTACGTTCAGACCACAAGTGGTGGGTCTCTGTATTCCGAAGTTCGGAAATTATTGTAAAGAGTGAAAAATAAAGGGTTTCGTATACCCTTCCTGTGTATCTTGTCTACTTCCCACATTTATTGAACATAGCTTTAGTAAGCTCCCTGTTCCGAATCAGGTTCTTGCATGCTCCCAAAGTAAGGCGGAACACAGAACCTGATAATATAACCGAAAGATCGCATGGTGCATTACACATGGTGGTCAGAAAAGGGTTCTTTTGGTTATATACTGGAATTCAGGCTAAAAAAAGTTTCCTAAATATTATAAATAATTTGTTGACCAATGTGTATTTCCGCATGTAATCAGAATTTTTCAAGCGGAAAGCTAATAATTCAAACGTGATATTATACTAAGTGTATTTACGCTAAATATCTCAAACAAAGTTGGTACCACTTTAACTTCTTATATCACGCAGCCACATGTGTTTGACTGCTGTTATGTACTCAAATGTAGGTTGTAATTAAAAATCAGTAGGCCAATTGACGTTACAGATTAAGCGAGTAAAGAAGTCCATATCATCATGCATTACATTGAGGAAACTAAAAAGAATGCTGAATGCGGATATTTTCAGTTATAAACATCGAAAAATTCTAAAATGGTTTCTACAAGTAGAGCCCGAACTAAAAGGTGGTGTACGATAATTCGCCACCACTAGGATTTGATGACTGGATACTCTAACCCTCAGTCGCCCTTCAAAAAGGAAGTATATAAGGTATTTTCTCCCTCCTCTTCTCATGCCTTCGTGGTATAATTGAAAGCATACTCGACGCGTATTCGAGAGGTTCAGAATTGGAGCCCCGGCGAGGGCATTGCACATTTTTCACATCTACTGTTTAAAAAAAACCTAATGACTCTATAAGCTAATAATAAGTTTACAAGTGAAAAATTATTAATCTCTTCAATATAATGGTGAGTGATGGGTATAAAAAGGGCATACTTACGTTTGTTGTAGCAAGATAATACTCCCGGCCGTAAAGATTCCTAAAATTATTAAAATAGGAAAATTAATATAAACATAGTTTCTCATAGTGAAGAATATTCTATATGAAAATTTCATAAAACATACCCTATGATGACATCCATATTGCTAAGATCAACCGTAGAAGAAAGAGGATACGAAACCCAACAACGGACGATAGATCTGAAAACGTTGAGTTAAAATTATACTTCAGTTTTATTTTACTTTTTTAATACTTCAGTTTTATTTTACTTTTTTAATACTTCAGTTTTATTTTACTTTTTAAAGTTATACTTCAGTTTTATTTTTATTTAAAATACTGCATAATTTCATATTGTGCCTTACTGATTAAATACGAAGTTAGTATAATAATTATTAAAAAGCATTCTCTAAAATGTTTTATATTAGTCATTAGTTTAAAGTATATTCTAGAAAGCTTTATAGAAATTCTGTGTTATATTTTATATATACATCTTATGTTATATATGTTACGGTGAAACACCAAAATCTGGAAAATGTCGACTTTCACCGGTGAATGTCAACATTCACATAGTCGCTTGGTGTATGTCCGAAATATTTTCCAAATACTCTTATTTCTGACTTACACGAGTGAATGTCGACATTCACCATGTACTAATGGTGAATGTGCAACATATAACAATATTATATTTTCTTCTCCGTAATTCAGTCGCGAATAAACGCACTTGAAACTTGAAATAAGAACTTAAGAACATGAGAACCTAAAACACACAATACATTCAAAATGAGAAAGGAAAATAATAGAAGTTAAAAACTTACTTAATTATACAGTACGTTTTAAATGAGAAAATAAAATAACAGTAATTAAAAACTTACTAAATTATGTGATTTAAATTTATTTATTGCAACAACTTAAACTATTATGACACTTTATGACCTCTCCTTTCGACTTTCACCAGAGCATATCTGTGATTGTCGACATACACCGGTGAGGGTCCGAATATACAAGAATGTAGTGAAATATTCGGTCTTTCACCGACGTATTTGGTGAATGTTGATATTCTCCGGTGAAAGTCGACATTCTCCAATTTCGGTCTTTCACGGTAACATATACATAGTTTTCCTATGCGTAACATGAATACGGATGAGTTTCCTTTAGAATATCTTTCACAACATTTTCTTTTGGCAGATAGCATCCATATGCTACAGTCAGTTATGATATAACCGAAAATAAAAATTAAAATCTCGTTTCGGTAACCATCTTTTTGCGCTTTTCATTCATTACGGCCCACTCCATTATCATGTTAGCATGTTAGTTATTATGACATGAGGTTATGCCATAATGTCAGCTCCTACTTGAAACAAGACTTCATATGCACACTCCCTATTTATTTTCACATGTTTTTTCTAACACAGTTTTGAAGTGGGCAAATGTAAGAAAGATAATTTCCGTCAGAATGGTACACCACCTCTCTCTTTTTCAACCGTTGTGGTCGAAATCGCTCTCATCTCAACGAGAAACGTTTTTGCATACTTTATCTTATAAAGCCTTATTTATGCTTGATAAGGTTATATAAGATAAAGTATGCTTTATAAGATAAAGCATACTTTATCTTATATAACCTTATCAAGCATAAATGCCTTAAATTAATGCTTCTGATGAAAGTAACGGTTCTGTCTTTCACGTGGACAAGTTTCTGAACTTTTCCCTACAATTAATTAATCTTCTTGAAGTGATCCCCCTAAAGAAGGATTTCTCACTTGATCCACCAAGCTCGGCTATGTTACTTGATGAGTATAAAGTAATAACTTCATTTCATCGGATCTGCCATTCTGCACTTAATGTTTAGCGAATCTTGCAGCATCTCTAATTCAGACCGTTGGATTCTTTCATGATCCCGCTTTCGGAAATGGAAAGCATCCACCATATCCAAGCACATGTTGCAGAATATTATTAGGTCTATATATATAGTTCGTTACATTTCTAGTTATTTTTATTAACTTCAACATTATTTTCTGGGCATTTTGTATACAACTACGCATAAAACTTTTCTTACTTATCTGAGCTTGAATTGTGAAAAGCGACAGAATGAACATTGACGTGGGCTCCAGTAAGTGCAGAAAATCCTCTGGAAAAAACATACAGAAAATATGTCAGTTCAATTATTTACAGTCCATTTAAAAGATTTACTAATTAAAAGTTTATGCACTTAGTTACGTAATACGCGAAAGTTAAAAATGTCCTTACAATAATTATAGATATCGCTGCAAATGCTTCTAAAATTTACCAGTTGGACATATTATAGTTAAGCCCATATCAAATTACATGAAACTGCTTATATTCTTCAAAATTAAAATGGAGATTTAACTTAGTAAGAAATCGGTTTACTGCTTTTAAGTCTATAAGTTATAAAACGACTGCAGATTGATTGAGCCTGATGTATAAATTAAATGTCTTAGACCTTTAAAATCAGGTAAAAAAGCAACCTTAAATTGGTGTAGATTTTTAATATCTTCATCGATTTTGAATATGTTCTGTAGATTTTAAAGGCGGACAGACATTCTTACTTTCTGTGCTAGAGTAAAAAATTGCTGTTTTCAATCGTCGAAGGAGCAGCAAACATATTTGTAGCGAAATTAATGGCCGAAGCAAAGAGAAAACAAACGCATCACTAACTGTTGAGGAAAACAGAAAAACTAAAGAACTTAGTAACTATTCTTAGAAAACCCGGATAAAAATTTAAGTTTTGTATATTTTTGCTAAAAGATGTTATCAGGACTTGTGTTCCTCTTGACTTGCTTTGGAAACATGAACTGTCCTGACTCGGAACAGGGAGCTTACTCAAGCTATGTTCAATAAATTGTGAAGTAGACAATACACACAGGAAGGGTATACGAAACCCTTTATTTGTCTATCTTTACAGATCTTTCCGGAACTTCGGAATACAGAGACCAACCACTTGTGGTCTGAACGTAAGAATATAAAACTAATAACTAAAACTAAAACTAAAAACTAAACTTTGAATTAGTACACAAGTGCCTAGCATTAAGATTGGCCGTTTATTTAACAAAAGGTCAGTAAGTAGTACGCTGAGCTGCTAAAACTACTATACGTTTGAAATTATCAAGAGGACTAAACCTCTGGCCTTGAAGGCAACCATCAACCGAGTGAAAACTCGTAAAAGTACTATGGCAAGCGGCTTGCTTCCAATAACTCCTTCCTCTATCTTGCTTGGCAAAAAACCACAACTTAAGTACTTGACGTTAGCAAGACAAATTTGCATAAATAAGTTAAAGCTTTTAATTCTGGCCGGAAGTAGAAAATAAGAAGTGATAGTAAAGATTTAAAATAAAATAAACGTTAGTAAAACTTAGGATCCTTACAATGTCACATGACTAGAATTTTTGTAACTTGAAAATATACCTTTGATACAACTCTTAAAATGTACACAACTAAACGCAAATATTAACGCGAACAATTTTTATGAAAAATTGTTCGCGTTATCAAAATCTTTTTTATATCAAAATCTTTTTTCAAAGATCAGCGACTTAAGTTATTAAACTATGCCCCATAGGTTAACGCATTTATGAAGATTAAAACTGAGAATTATTTAATGTATCGGTTTTGAAATGCTAATCATTTTAAGTTTTCAGGAATGAAGCAACGGTTTTAAAATTTTAGAAAATATTTAATCATACTACAGTAATATTAATTTACTCGCAATTAAATTTTAGCTTGTAGAATCTTTTAGAATTTTTCGATATCAGGAAGCGGATGAAATCTGCATTACCCTCGCCGGTATTCGAACTCCGCACCTCCCAAATACGTGTCGAGCGTACTTCCAGTTACGCCACAAAAGTATGCGGAAAACCGGGAGAGAATACCTTATAAGCTTCTGAAATTTCTCCTTTTCTTATTTTGGTTTCATTAAATTGCCTAATTCCAGAAGTTTTTTACAAAGCTCGATTATTCAAGATTAACTTAATAACTGAGCTTAAGTGGTTTTTCAGCCATTGCTTAAGCTCATTGGAGTTGATTCAGGAGCAGTACTTCTTGTTTTGGAAATAATTTTTGACCACGATTCAAAGCCTTTTGGTAAGTGGAAGTTAAATTAAAATGTATATAATAAGAAAGTTCTTCTTTAGCGGCCTTAAGGCAACTGGGTAAATCATTTTCGAGTATTTTCCGCAAACAAGAGTATTTTATGTTATACTACAGCATTACGTATGAGATTTAAATCTAACAGAAAACAGATACATTTGATACACTGATATTTCGAATCGTGTTTTAAATAATTATGAGACGAATTTCACCTCTCCAACTCTTGTCTTCTCTCCGAAGCTTTTCTTGCTGATAGGGGAACAATGAAAGATATGGATCTATTCAGGTATTCCTGAAATATAAAAGGAAAAAGATAAGCATTATAAATGTAACATTAGATAATGAGGTTTTATGTAACATTAAGTTATAAAACACAAACTGGCATGTATCGATTCAGGCATCTATCGATTTTGAAGGATACTAACACAGGTTCCTCTTCTGTAAACTAAAAGAGATTAACCCCTTCGCGCCGACTGTCACGTCTACGTGCCAGCAACGAACACACTCACCTACCGGCCGACACACAGGCGTGCCAGAGCATTTTTCCGTTTACTACCGACTGTCACGTATTTGTGCCAGTACACTGGAACGTTTTAGAACTATAATTCTGCACAATGGTACGTATGTCCATATGGTTTCAGATACATGTACATTAGAACCCTCTACTCGAATGAGAGAGCATGACTCACATACGTGTTTTTGATTATATAAACAAACGGGGAACTAAATTTTTCCGAATGGCGTGATTTATGACGTCTCTTTAATCCGGAATATTTCAGATTAGGTTTTTTTCTCAGACTTTATTTCAGTTATATATTAGCCCTTTTCGTCCACTATTTGCATGTAAGATTTATTTAGATGTTGTTTTCTTTCGATTTCCTGTTTGCCATAGATGAAAAGGATTTAGAGCTATGCATTCATTTTTTTATAATATCGGTCAAAAGAACGCTCACCTGATTATGGACCTGAACTTTAACTGTTGCAAAACGCACGGGAACGCCTTGGTCATGGGCTCTGACAGTAAGAGTAATGACAGGCAAACCATGGTCTTGAGACTCGGGGTTGGGAACCAAGGGCGCTTTGAGGCTCAGTTCGCCCGTGTGAGGATCGATGAGAAATTTCTCTTGGTAATTTCCATTCACAATTTCGTACGTAATGTCACTATTAGGTCCGGGTCCATCTGCATCGTATGCCTAAAAAGGAAACTAAACTGATAACAAGAATATTGTAAACATTCCGTTAATGAGAAATTTAGATTAATTCGACGAATTTTAATTACCAAATACAGGTAATGAGTACAAATTATAGAAATTTCGGTCTTAATTCAAATATCTTTGAATTGCAAAGTCAGTCTCTGAATTGGTCTTTAGAAATCATGTTTTTATGCATTCCGATATTTCTGGTGCTATTCTAGTAGCCAGAGTCTTATTTATTTTTTATTAGCTTCTTTAACCTTCCGTTGAATTTTTTAAATAATACAATTAATTTGTGAGAAACAAAAATCACACTTTTTTATTACACTGGCCACGTTCTTCTCCACATTCCATAGCAATACCTGTTTTATGGTAAGGAATTTTTTGGGCGAAAAAGCACAGGCAAGGTCACTATCCGACATTTGGAAAACGCTGTACTAGATGTTACTTTTTTCAATTTTATTTGGGAATTGAGCTTCTGGGTAAATTTGGGTATATTCTATTTATTTGATTCTATGTAAACCAATTTGGGTATATTCGATTTATTCTTTTTTGTATAAATTTTCTCAAATTTGCACATTTTCTCTTTCAATTTATGCCTTGTTATGACCTTTCTGTGTATGCACATATATTTATCTGCACAGTTTGAATATATGATCCTTTTACTCTAAAGGAAGGACAGCAACTAAATTTCATGCTTTCAATTTGTGCTATGCTTTCTCAACGTTACATTTGCCTGTTTAGATTATAGAAAATGCGATAAATAATTAAAAATATTTGATCCATTATTTCAACTGCTTAAAACGCACTTTAATACCACATATACCACGTTACCTGCTGTGTTTTAATCTAAGATCAAACAATTCATGTAAATGTTCAAAATGTGTACCTCAGGATGTGGAATATTTGATTTTCTCATGCCCTACATTTGATGGCCCTAGATCAAGGTTTCGTAAACTGTGGGTCGCGACTCCTTTGGGGGTCGCGAGACCTGCAGAAGGAGTCTTTGTATTTCTTTAACTCATTATAATAATTTTACAATTAGCAAATATTTTACACAATGTATCTGAAAATATATAAAGATAAATCAGACAAAGAAAAATCGAAAACGTTTCGAGGCATTCTTTTTATAACATAAACGTTCATTTTCCTTGCTTTGCACGTGACGCTGCCATTTCTTCTGTTACTTATTTAAAATTTTCACATTGTTCTATGTCTTAAAATTAAAAATTAAAGTTAATGACCTAAAACTATAACAGCATACTACAGTTCAAGTACAACAACTGACAGTTTCTCTCACGCGTGTATCGGATTTGCGCAATACGTATGGGGTCCCACAAAATTTTTGTAAATATTATGGGGTCTTGGGGGTTGCGAAAAAATCTCAGTGATAAAAAGGGATCACGATTGAAAAACGTTTATGAAGCCCTGCCCTAAATTATGCTTTCAGAACGATTTGAAAATGTTCAGAGTGACTTGGCCAGTGAACTTATCTTGTTTTCGTGAAGTCTATACTGCTGTCCTCTGCTTTTGCTCGTTTTATTTATGCATGTAACATTTAATGTTTTAATTAACTTACTTCTATAAGCCCCGTGTTGTACATATGTGTTGCACGGGGAGTCTGTATGTTTTCAAATAAAAAAAATATCATATACAGATAGAGCCGTTAGGTTTTAATCTACATTTGTCTTAAATGCTTAAGACAACTGAAACAAACAATGATTAATATTTAATCTTATTATAATTTAATTTAATAATATAATCGAATTTACGCACTAAATATTTCATTAAAATAAGCGAAAATTTTACTAAGAGAACATAGGAGTGAAACGGCGTGGTTCCGTTCACAGTTTGAAACCTAGCACGTCGGTGAGAAGATTCAGATCCTTCAGTTCAATCAACAGGAGCAAAAATATATGAAATAAATATGCAAATCATTTCTAACCTGCACGCGCAAGGGTTCGTAAAAATTTCTCATATCAGGATTGAGTACCGCGTCATAACGGGGTTGCAGAAACAGTGGCGCGTTGTCGTTGGCATCAGCAAGGGTCACATGGACTTCTGCAGTGTTGCGGTTACCCTTGCCTTGGTCATCCCTGGCTTCCACAGTCAATGTATATTCTGGAATTCGTTCACGGTCCAGGCCTTCTCCAGACACCAGAGTTAATTCTCCTGTTACTGGATCCAGTCTGAGACTGTAAGAATCAAAGCAGTATTTATTTCACTTTTTAGCTTTATGGCGTACAGTGCAAAACAAAAGAAAGAGATGTTTAAAATTTTATTAGTTATGCAGGATAAAGCCTAATAGCATTATTCAGTACCATTTAAGGCGGAAGATGAATTTTAGTTTCACTGATTTTTAAAAACTGTATACATGCATGACGATTCTAAAACTACCAATACCATGGCAAATTTCTGAAAACTCACTTCATGACAAACACAGCTTTTCAATTCAAATACCCCGTTCAGAAATTGCATAAATATTTTCATTGTTTCTCTCATTTGACCAGTTTCCCTTACAAAGCCTTTAAGAAGACATCTACCCTCTCAGCCATCGTGAACTTTGCCTGTTCGGATAACCAAAAAAAACCAACCTTATTCCGAAATGATTGTAGGTTTTGTTTATCAATCAACACCCAACTAGTAAAAACAACACTCATAACTTTAAATCCTCTAACAAATGCTCGCAGTTCTTGAAGTACGATCGTGAAACCCAAACATCTCGGTCGGATTAGCAAACCAGAGGTAGAAAAACTATAATTGCTGAAGCAGTCACTGTATTGCTCCAGAATACTAATTACTTTTAATATAAGTTGCAGTAGACTAGAAGAGAATCACGCTAATATGACAATCAAAATCGTAAAAACAACTTTGTATTTAGCGCAGGTATAATGAAACACTCAATCGATTTCGAGGGCAGCTAAAGGTCCCTCCTCATCAGGAGAAAGAAATACCTAGGAAGAAGAAAATAAAGGAGAAGGAGTCTCAGAAACACGTGGTCCTTATCAGCACTGCACGTGGTTATAACTGGATTTTTAATCAGAGTTGCACTGGCCGCCTACTTTTCCTGAGCCAGGCTATCTAATCAAGCATAAAGGACAAGAAAAATAGCGAAGTTAAAATAGGGAGCGAGGGCAAATGCACCTTCACGCTCAAAATCTGAACTTCAAATAATGGAAGCAACCAGTGAACGGATTTTTTATACCCTCTGGTAGTACCAAACGCGAGGAGGTAACGCCATCTATCGACAAAAAATGAATTAAGATAGTAGAATTTTAAAGGCATTAGGAAGGACTGGATTAGACTTCAAATCATTAGCTAAACCTGCTAGATCTTTGTGAATGTGAAAAGCCTCAAGAAAATCCAATTCACCTATGGAAGAAGCCTTTTGGATAATTTTTGCAGACCCAAAGTCAAAATTATGGTTAAATGTCCAACTATGATACGCTATTGAAGACTTGTTAATTTCGCCTTTTCTGACATAAGATTCATGTTCCTTGATACAAAACTTCAACGCTCTTTTTGTTTGGCCAATATATCTTAAACCACACTAACACGATATACTAAAAATTCCCCAAGAATTCAAGACAGAAACGCAATCTTTTAGAATCGAAGGGTGAATTTTATTAATAGGGAAGAAACCGACTTAAAAATTGAATTTCTGGAGATTCCGTGCAATTTTATAGCTAACAGAAGGATAAAATGGAAGCACGACAAGGTCATTAATATTATTTCTAACAGTGGAGTGTCTTCTTTGATGGGAATCTGAAAATTTTTTAGCGGCTTTATCAATAATCACGGGAGAAAATCCACAGTCAATCGCAACTGCTCTCAAATAATTAAGTTCATTGGTAAGCAAAGATTCAGAGGAACAAACTTTAAGCGTGCGGAATACATAATAGTAAAAAGAAGCCATTTTTTGCTTAATTAATTGGATTCAATTGTTGTTGTTTCAATGTTGGATTCATTTGAATCCAGCAATTCCCTCCCCTTCCTTGATATTATTATAATCCGCAATGAAACTGATTTTAGCACCACTGTGTACCGTAAATCCTTTGCAGTTTGTTTACCACCCCATGCCAAGTCATGCCACCGTGTTAAGCAAAAATGGTTTCTTTTTACTATTACATGTATTCCGCGCGCTTAAAGTTCGTTCCTCTGAATCTTTGCTTACCAATGAAGTTAATTATTTGAGAGCAGTTGCGATTGACCGTGGATTTTCTCCCGTGATTATTGATAAAGACGTTAAAAAATTTTCAGATTCCCATTAAAGAAAGTATTTTTGACAGTGGAAGGGATCATCAGATCCCTTCCACTGTCAAAAATAATATTAATGACCTTGTCGTGCTTCCATTTTATCCTTCTGTTAGCTATAAAATTGCACGGATTCTCCAGAAATTCAATTTTTAAGTCGGTTTCTCCCCTATTAATAAAATTCACCCTTCGATGCTAAAAGATTGCGTTTCTGTCTTGAATTCTTGGGGAATTTATAGTATATCGTGTTAGTGTGGTTTAAGATATATTGGCCAAACAAAAAGAGCTTTGAAGTTTCGTATCAAGGAACATGAATCTTATGTCAGAAAAGGCGAAATTAACAAGTCTTCAATAGCGTATCATAATTGGACATTTAACCATAATTTTGACTTTGGGCCTGCAAAAATTATCCAAAAGGCTTCTTCCATAGGTTAATTGGATTTTCTTGAGGCTTTTCACATTCACAAAGATTTAGCAGGTTTATTTAATGATTTGAAGTCCACTCCAGTCCTTCCTAATGCCTTTAAAATTCTATTATCTTGATTCAGTTATTTTTGCCGATAGATGGCGTTACCTCCTCGCGTTTGGTACTACCAGAGGGTATAAATATCCGTTCACTGGTTGCTTTCCATTATTTGAAGTTCAGATTTTGAGCGTAAAGGTGCATTTGCCCCTCGCTCCCTATTTTAACTTCGCTAATTTTTCTTGTCCTTTATGCTTGATCAGATAGCCTGGCTCAGGAAAAGTAGGCGGCCAGTGCAATTCTGATTAAAAATCCAGTTATAACCACGTACAGTGCTGATAAGGACCACGTGTTTCTGAGACTCCTTCTCCTTTATTTTCTTCTTTCTAGGTATTTCTTTCTCCTGATGAGGAGGGACCTTTAGCTGCCCTCGAAATCGATTGAGTGTTTCATTATACCTACGCTAAATACAAGGTTGTTTTTACGATTTTGATAAGTTGCAGTAGTTCTGCTGATCAACTGTAATTTTACATCTGTCATATAAAAGATGCAGTCCATAAATGGCAGAGTAACTAAAGTGCGGATCATTGACAATTAATCCTGAGTAATTTTACATCTGTCTTAAATCTGTCTGTCAACGGTAATTTTACATCTGTCTTATATAAGATGCGGTCCATAAATGGCCGATTCATTAAAGTGCGGATCATTGACAATTAATCCTGAGTAATCCTGGGTATTAAAACGATTCTCTCTAAGGCACATTGTGGTTTTTCTCGCACATAAATAAATGCGAGCTAACTTCCCTTAACCAGTTCTACACGAGAGTATCCCTGCTACGGTAAATACTCTTCTATACTTTGCGAAATAAAATAGAAACTAGTCCTGAGCTGTTACGATGTTGGAGAAATTTTATACACTTCTCTGAGATTCTTCGATCATGTGCACTTTTTTAAAGCTATTAGGTCTACAATCGATCTCAGCGAGTTTTCAATGGTCGAGGTGCTGTTATTCGACATCTAGTGATATAAACGGAATTAATAGAATGAGTAATCAATTATTTCTTTTATCTCTAGTTGTTAACCGTATTATTGAAGGAGACGTTTCTTTGACTGGTTTCTCCTGAAAGATGGAAAATTATATCTGCCCGATTATTTATTATCAAAGATAATTAATTCCTGATAGGATCTGTTCTGCTGGATGTGTTATCATATTGATGCTTTTCAAATTATTATCGAATAATCATTCCTTATTTAAGATTATTCGAACAATCACATACCAGTTGGTCCTCTGTTGCCCAGCATTGTTGGTCGAAAATTACAATTACACTTTCAATTTTTCTGCAACCAAAATTATTCAAAATATATCCTCTTTTAGTGAATTAGATTTCTTGAGGCGTTTCACATTCAAAAAAATTTTTCTGTTCTACTTAGCGACCCTAATTCCAATCTATCTTTGCCTTCAGTCTTTAAGGAAATTATGTTTTAGTTCTTGTTTCATCAATAGATGGCGCCAATAGCTTAATTCCTGTCCAGCCATTCTTATCTTATCTTATCTAATCACTATATCTTATCTCGTTCATTTGCGCTTTGGGAGCTGAGGATGATGGTTGGGTAAAAACCATCGAAACTGGTCCCGTGAAAATTTGCAAATATAACGCTGATTTTTATTGTTTGACTTCTAAATTAATCAAATAACAGCCAACCAGTTTTCAACTACATGGCGCAAACGACAACCATTAACAACAAAAATATATCTTCCGCAACGATACAGAACGAGTCGGAAAAAGCGAGTATGATTTCAGGAGGGAAAGCACAAGAAGTCTCAATCATACTGTATTTTATTATTCCTTGTCTATGGCTTTGTGGCGCACACATTAATGCAATGCCGTCGCTAGATTTTTTGTTTTCGTTGGCTTGTTGTATCATCCTTTCTATAGATCACGCACAGTTCCTCCCTCCTCAAGCTTGTTATATAATCTATAGCAACGGGTGTCTACTACACTTCATCATTTCCATATAATTTCGTAGCAGTTAAACAGCTATCAAAGCTGCTAGCTACTCGTGACTGTGCGTCGAAATGAACTTTTCCAGTAACATTCGTTACAATGATATCTGATTGGTCGATTTATATGGAAATGAGTTCTGTGGCGAAAACTTATATGAAACACAGTTACAGGCGAAACATTTTCCCGGCCTTAATAAAAAGTATCGCGTACGTACCCGGAATACAGTTTCCAGTGAAATAGTTTCGACTAGGAACCCTTCCTTTAAACCAGTGCTGAAAGAAACTCGTTTAAGACTGGGCAGTTACCGTCCCCAAAGGCAATAACAGAGCATTATCTGTCGGATTCAAATTCATATGTTGACGTACATACTGGCCTCGTAGTACTATATGTGATTACCCCATATGTAACTTAAATGCGAGTCAGTTTCCTTTAGAAAGTTTTCCACGAAGGTATGCTATCCTTAGGCAGCCAGTTTACACATACTTAACAATTTACTGACCAAACAGCAATATCTGACAGTATTAAAAGAAACACTAAAAGAGACTATTTCGAAGGATATTTAGTTATAACCTTATCATTCTACACATTCGCTGAAGAAGAAAAAATCTGGTAATTTCTTTATGTACATAAAATAATCAACTGTTTTATACAATAATAAGCACTTTTTGCATAAATATACATCAGATTAAATTAATTTCATTATGCTTTAAGATGAACTAGAAGTGCAGTTCTTTGTATATTTATATAAGAAAACAAAGTCAACTTATATAAAAAATAAACATACTTCCCAGCTATGGGCCCGTTGACTGCCGTGTATCTGACTACCCCGTAGCTCCCACTGTCTTCATCTGTAGCCTATACGTAAGACACATATATTACTACATTATACATTAAAATATAAGTAAAATTTTAAGGTGATTATGACTGAAATTCTTTTACAAACAAAAGCATAATTTATGTCAGTGGTCTCAAAACTGGAGGCTCGCAAACATATTCATTATATATTTGTTGCAAATATCGTGTTACAAAGTTTTAAGATTTAAATTGTTTGATGTCCGAATATGCGTTATTTACATTATAATTATAATTAAGCTAGATTTACCGAGATACATTTACAATCCACGATAAAGATAATTACTAGGGTTTTTAAACCGGTGCACGGATATTATGTAAATCAATTTTATATTTACATACAAAATTCATAACTATTTACATATATATTATACAAAAGTATGTAATTTTACGTATGTTTCGAAAAAATTAAGAAAAAGAGACTAGGTTATCATTATTTTTCTCAAGTTTTGTCTCTATTGGAAAGTTTTTCTCTGAAAACTCAGCGATTTTTTATAATTTGCTTATTTTTAATTTAAACTAAAGTAAGTTATTTAAAAATTAATTAAACATATTAGAATTATTTGAGGTAAATATGTCTGAAATATTAATAAGTTTAGCTATCAGTATGTTTGAATTGCAAAATGTAACCAACAAAAATATCTTGCGGGTTCCAAGCTTTAGAATTCAAAAAAGAAAATGAACTTAGATAGAACTTTTTCCTTTGCGTTATTATTGTTACGTTATTTTCTGCCTTCACGTTCGTACGGGGTTCGTAGATTTGGAGTGAATTACGACTACACTTGCTGAAGTATCGAAACGCACTTTATCAACGCCATTATTAATCAGACAGCTCCAAAACACTTTACAGTCGTCGAAGAGCTACTATAAAACGCTGGAACAATCAGCGACCGCCTTATACTGTAGGCAATACGGTGAGAAAAAATAACTTCACTGCAAAGCACCAAGTACAGCTCCTGAATCTGCTCGTCGTTCTCGGCACTCCACGTAATCCGAGACTCACGCTACAACTCGCGATGCTCTAGACGACACACAGAGCCACAGCTCCGACTCTCGTTCAGTTGTTCCGGAGCTTAACACACTCTCGCGATGCCTAACCGCGAGGACTTTCGATGCACTCGACGACCCAAATCGGCACTAGCTGCCCGCTGTCATTTCGATAGATCGAATGACTGACTAACTCGATACTCCAGACGAGACACTCACTAACTGATGCGGACTAGCGGGTGATATAGCTTCGGCTGGGCGAGAACATTCTGGGCTAACCCTCGTAGAATTCGTTCCAGAAGGTTCTCCATCCGTCCAGGCTAGCGTTCCAATTTGTCACCAAATGGGCGAATTTCTGCCAAATGTAGCAACCTGCTTTTTATCCTTTTATGCACCCTAAACTTGCTTTGCGGGGAAGCTATCTTACCGCGCCTGGACATTTCGTAACATTATTTATGTATATTTTAATAAATACTTAGTTAGTAAAATTTAAAATTTAGTTTATTTTTGCTGTAGATGTTAATCAAATACATTCCTTTTACTAAAAAACGAGATAGTCATGATATGGCAATGACTCGGTGACCGCGCCACTCGTCTGGCATGAGCTTCATGTTCGTCAAAGTCCAAGTGGAAAGGCTCACTGAACTTCAGTATTACGTACTTGGTTCATATCTCGACGAACGTCCTTGCTGCAAAGGTTTCCGTGGTTTTCCCCCTGCTTGACGTATATGGTTATGCTCTTCTCAAAGCTTGAATTCTGGACTCACCGGGCCGAGTAACATACCAACACTGTTACTCGGCCAACACTGATATATATATATATATATATACCAACACTGTTACTCGGCCCGGTGACACACTGTATACTATATATACGCTGATGTGGCCGATTGCAATGGAAAAGAGAGTTGCGCAACTCCATGTTATAGCAGTCC